TATGTAGGCGCTGTGACCTTAAGCTCTGTGACTGCTGCTGTGGAATCCCCTCAAAGACCCCTTCAGCATGAGAAACTTTACAAATCCTTTCTTTCCACAAACCCACTCATCAGAGTAACTTCTCCTGAGAAGCCGAGGGATCATGTGTGATTTTTTTTTTTTTTGGCATTTCTGTCCTGGAAGGGCTAAGCCTGGCCTGTCAGTACCAGTCATTTCTCTTACCATGTAACATTTTTAGACTCTCTTTTCACAGTGCCCAGCTATTCTATGCTGCAGTGTGGCACCACAAAGGAGCACATAAAAAAATTCTTTTGACTTTTTAATTTTTTTCTAACTTTAACCATTATTTGTCTTAAAGAGACCTGGCTATTAAAATATCAATAAAAACCCCATCATCTAAGGATAAAGGCCTTTTTTCTTTAGTTACCTGACAGAGTAATTCGGATAGACATAAGGATGATTTTTAACTATGCTAGAAGAATTCCTCTGAACTGCATGCTCTGTATTATAAGAAATAATTCCATAGGACTAGTTTTAGTCTTTCACTGAGTTTAGTTTTGTATATCTAGTATGCATATATCACTTAGTATATATATATAAGACCACAGTTCTTCAGAAATAGTTTTGGCTTCATTATGAGTCAGTTTGGTATACCCAGTGCCAGATATCACTTAATACTTTTCAGACCAATCTTTTTACATCTGGGTCTATTTTAATATTCATTTGAAAATTAGATGTTCCAAGCACTTACGAATGGGATTATTTGAATGCTCATAATGGGAGTAATTTGTCAGCACAGTTTTTATGGGAAATCTGAAGGGATTTCCAGAAATTAATCAAGGATCTGACATTTGCAGGCACTGTTCTGGTCCTGAGACTATGTGGGGTCAGGGTGGAGGAACCAGACATATGATTCCTGCTGTCAAAAAGGTGAATGATAGTCAAGTGGAAAGAAGACAATTGAGGAACAGTTTTAACAAAGTGCCAACATTTCCGTGATAGTGGAAGTACAACATGCTGTGAGAGTGCATGAATGAAAAGAGAAAATATACATGCAAACCTCTTAGATTGAAAAAGCAGTGTTTGCAATAATTCTAGACTGTGCTGAAAAGAGTTATTTTATCTTTGAGTATTTTTATAGCTCTTAAGGTCTCAAGATTATTCTTGCAGGATAGAAGACTGTAAAAGTTAAAAATGTACAGGTTTTAATGAATAAGATAATGCTTATAAGATAATGCTAAGATTAGGAGGATCTTGACATTTTCTTGATTAAGTGTAGGAGGTATAGGAATTATATTTTATATAGTATTTTGAAGGAAGTTTCCATTTAATAGCAAAATACTTAAACTAGAGTGTTTTAATGGCAATCTGATCTACAGATTGGAAAATTTCTATTGATTAACTTTTAATTTCATTAACTCTTTTTTATACAATTCCAATCTGATGCTAAGCTGACCCAGTTATTTTTGTATTTAAATTATTCTTTTCATTTTTCAATTTCATGTATTTTTTGTGATGTATAATTTAGCTCTATTTATTCATTATCTATATGTTTTCTTTTATAGTTTTGAACATATTTTATATTTATAACAGTTGCTATAAAGTCCCTGTCTGCTAGTTGTAGGATCTGCGCCATCTTTGCATTGATTTGTATTACCTATACTCTTGTTGTTTTGGTTTTTCCAAAAAATAGAGCTCACATTTTCTAGTTTCTTTATATCTGCTTATTTTTGACAGCATATTGGATATTGGAAATGATATGTAGTAGAGGCTCTGAACTTCAAGTTTTTTTCTGAAGAGTGATTTTGGTTTTGCAGGCAGTTAACCTCGTTGGATTGAAACTTCAGTTTTCTCTCTTTTACATGAGGAGTTGCTTATATTTTTACTCAAATCTTTCAGCTTCCATCTGTTGCCATTATACTGGGCTTTCCTAGAGCATGCATAGTCAGCATAATTTGGATAAATTTTTTACAAAGGTTTTGTAGGTAACTTTGTGTCCAGGATTTAGCACATCTAATTATTCTGTTGCTTGTGAGCCCTGAAGCATATCCTCTGATACCTGAAGCCAATAAAGCAGCAGATTTCTGCTGCCAGAGTAGCAGACAGATTGGACACTGCACGCCCCAAAGCAAAAGGCAGCCACTTACCAATCACATAAGGTGCTGTTTGCCTTTTGAGAGAGATCTGCTTTTCAATTTCTTCCTGCTTTTGGTCCATGTGCCTTTAAGTCAATTCTTAAAAGTATTTTTTCCAAATTGTATAATAGTTTCTATAGGAGAATTCACTCCAGTGAATTACTTCATCATTTTCCAAAATAGAACAACTCCAAAGAAAAATAAAATTTAAAAGCTGATGCCAAAATTAAGGCCATTAATAGAGATATGGTACAGCTAATACAGAGTTTTAGTAAGATTATTACTTGCCTAATCTGAGCACTTTATTTCGAGTAACACAGGCTAATATTCTGTTGGATGCTTTTACTAGGTGTCACATTTGTGGTACATGCTGTACTTCAGCTTATGGTCATTCAAAGGATCTAGACTATTTTCATCTGAATTTCTCCTAAGCCTGAGCTACAAAAAATGACAGGAGATAAAGGAGGAAAGAACATGGATGGCCTTTGGTCTTTCATTCAGCAAGTGATCTCACTTAGTTTTTCTGATGTCACTTCAGCATTTTTTACCTTACTCAAGGGTTACAGTAATTATTAAAACAGTTATCTACTGGGAACGGTGGCTCACACCTGTAATCCCAGCACTTTGGGAGGCCGAGGTGGGTGGATCACCTGAGGTCAGGAGTTTAAGACTAGCCTCACCAACATGGTGAAATCCTGTCTCTACTAAAAATACAATAATTAGCAGGGCGTGGTGGCAGTTGCCTGTTGTCCCAGCTACTCAGGAGGCTGAGGCAGGAAAATTGCTTGAAACCAGGAGGCGGAGGTTACAGTGAGCCGAGACTGCACCACTGCGTTCCAGCCTGGGTGACAGGGCAAGACTATATCTAAAAAAAAAAAAAAATGAAAAAAACATAATCATCATGAAATTTCACTATTAAATCTTCTAATCCGGAGACGGATGTGAAATACATCAATAAAATACAAAGAAAGCATAATTTCACAATTAATAATTGTGTGACTTCTTAATATACAATCCATATACCTACAAATAATCTAGCCACAAACCAATTTGCTTGAAGAAAAGACCGAAAAAAAAATGTTAGAGGCTCACTGTTCTGTTCTGAAGAGATAATTACAGTGTTCTATTTTTTTCCCCAGAATTTAATTTTTCTATTGACAGGGTTAGTATAAGTAGATTAGTAGTTTATCTAGGTTGATAGAATGAAATTGGAAAGGTTTTATTGTCTGTCTCATTACAGATGCTTAGAATAGTGTTTCAAGTTATTTGCATAATGATTGAATCAACTTAATTGATAATTATATATTAGGTGACCTTGACCTTTTGTGTTAAAAATTTCAACTCATTTTAATTTGAATTTTCAATTGTCTATGGAGTGTTCATAATCATTTTCAGGTCATTAATTATTAACACATTATACAAATGACATGAAAAGTCAAACATTGGGGTTGTTTTAAAATTGTTCGTTTTTGTATAGCAGACATACATTTTACTCTGACTGAATCTTCAAAACATTCGTGTAACTATAATTACAAGTAAAAGTCATACGACCAAAGACATAGAAGACACGT